ACAACTTAGCTAACGTGTCATAACGACTTAGCTTATCTGACTCGTTTAAACTCAGTTAATTCGTTTAAACAACTTAGTTAAGTTAAAACGACCTATCTAACTAGTTTAAACGATTTAGCTAACTTGTTATAACGACTAAGCTAATTTTAGCTCAGTTGTTTAAACGAGTTAGCTAAGTTGTTTAAACGAGTAAGCTAAGTTGTTTAAACGACTTATAAATAAAACTGCATCCTGACACTAACTGGCTTCCGTACAGTTCACTACGGTACACAAGGAAGAATGGATTAAATCCTTAGCTTTATGACCATAACGTAGTCAACATATTTTTATTTTATTAGTATACCATAAATACACAAAAATGTCACACGATTAAATCTTAGTTATATATTTATACATTCTGTGTAACGCTATAAAAGACTTTACACGTTCTTGTTTCTGATTAAAATTCAGATCTGTTTTTTTACACAAAGCCCCCTTCCCTTATTGTTTACAAAGTACAATATTTAGATCCAATAATTCTCAATTACTAAACATAGCTATTTAAGTAGAAAATCATAAAATATAAAAGTTTTATACTGTTTTTGAAATTTAAATTAGAAAACAAAAATATAAATGCCTGTGTTCGTTGTACATATTGAGATGACCCTTCTCAAATAGGTTACATATACGCAAAGGTATAAGTGTAAGGGTCGGTATCAAATAGTTTTCGAAAATGTCTAGTAGTCGAACTACTGTATCACTAGGCTGTAAACACTGAGGTTGTGAGCTCGAATCCTGCACGTCGCGGCTGCACTCTACTCCAATCTAAACTGACTAAAATGGAAAATGTTTCCTACCGAATGTCGGTTCCTCTCTCTCTGGGCACTCCGGCACCCTCCACCAATAAAATCTGACCGCCACAAAAAAGCACAACAGTACTGAAAGTGGCGTAAAACACCAATCAATTAATCAATCCAATGACAATAATATCTCTGGAAAAAGGATCCTGCTAGGATGTTTAACCCCGCCACATTCTGTATGTATGTGCCTGTCCCAAGACAGAAGCCTGTAATTCAGTGGTTGTCGTTTGTTTATGTGTTACATATTTGTTTTTCGTTCATTTTTTTGTACAAACATTAGGCCGTTAGTTTTCTAGTTTGAATTGTTCTAAATTGTCATTTCGGGGCCTTTTATTGCTGACTATGCGGTTTTGGCTTTGCTCATTGTTGAAGGCCGTACGGTGACCTATAGTTGTTAATTTCTGTGTAATTTGGTCTCTTGTGGAGAGTTGTCTCATTGGCAATCATACCACATCTTCTGATATATACAGCTTTTTATCCTACCTAGCTCAGTAAAGATGAAGAGAATAATTTTTCCGTCAGTACGTCACTCCTTCCATCCGATTGTCCTTTCTATATGGCAAATCAGGTATTTGACCTAGATGTCAAAGTTTGCTGAACATGTTAATGTAACTGGTCAAATGTTTAGTTTTGAATAGTTCAAAGTTTTTTATTCATGTATTTTCTGGCAGTTTCAACTTGAAACCTTGTGCATATGTTCATTATGAAGTGAACTGTTTTATATATAGTTTATTGAAAATAATGCACTACTATCCCAATGTGGTTGATGGCATACATGAACACATAAACTACAAACCAGTAAAAGTCTGGAATGACCTACATTGTATATCTGTATTCAAACTTACTGATTTTTATTCGACCAGTCTGAATTGGTCTGAATTTTACTTGATATTACTCGACTGTAGTCTGAACCATACAGTTTGAACTTGTACTCGACCTTTACTCGACCATTACTTAACCATTTTATATGCGTTTGAATCATACTCGACGTAGTCTTAACCATTCTCGATCAAGTCTGAACCATGCTTGTCCTGACCTGAATCATACTCCACGTAGTCTTAACCATTCTCTATCAAGTCTGAACCATGCTCGTCCTGACCTGAACCATACTCGACCAAGTCTTAACCAACCTAGACTTATTTTTTGTATCTTTATATTGTATTTCATCAATTTAGGAACTGTTTTTAAACAACAGCTATTTATATATCACCTTTAACATAAAAAATAAAACTATTTTTCTTAAATTCGTGTATAACTTATCAAGTGAATTCAAAAGGCCTAGTGTTTTAAGTTGTACAGGATGTTGTTATTTTCAATGGATGTTATTTAAAATTTATTACTCTCTGACCAGGTGTAATTTTTTTGATGAGCGTGAACTAAGCAAAAGGTATTTCTTTATAGTTTACCCCTAATCAGAAAAACAATGTTAAAACTGTTTCAGAAAGGGCGAGTACATGTAATAGTTCAGACTATTTTCAATGGCAAAGATAGGGGTGAAGTACAAACCAGTACATTCGAGTATGGTTAAGATTTGGGTCGAGTCAGACCATTTCAGACTGGTTGAGTAAAAATATGTACAGTCAAGTATAGATATATGCCATTTCAGACTTTTACTGGTTTGTAGTGATATATATGTAGGACTATGAATCACGATGGTACTCCGAACCGCGATGGTCATGCTGATATGTTATGGTTTGACGCTGAAGAGCGTTTTTGATCACGAAGAGGTGCGATGGTGACATTGTGACGCTATTTTCTTGATAGCTACGCCGAAGTTTGATGGTGGTGACGCTCAATTTCGATGGACTACATAAAAGATATTTGCAATGCTTTTCATGTCGATATCGATGTAGAAGTCAAATTCTTGTTAGAAGCAGTTTGTCGTCTTAATAAGGGGCTTTTAAACTTTTATAATATATGAGAAACGGGGAGTGATTTGTGGAGATGGGAAAATTAACCTTCTGTAACGGATTTTTCGTTTCGAAATCTGCAAAAGGTTCCTTTATATGTACGATGGGGCATAGCATTCCCTTAAATACATACAAGTCCGCTGACAGACTATCTGTGTTTTGATATAACGGGCAACGAGGAACTCATGAGAGAAACCAAGACAATGTTTAATTTTAACGCAGAATTATGTTTACATGGAGGAAATCAAAGAGGACTATCTCTTATTTTATAAGTAACTGTAACTAAGGACATACATAGACAATAAAGAATGCAGATTAATATACTAACTATTAAAAGTCTACTTTTTATAATCATTAAACATCTGTAGATTGTTCACAAAATAATGGTACTGGCTGAATCTTCAAATTTACTTTGGCCCTTATTGTTGCTTGGCTAAAAATGTTTGAAATTAGGGTCACGATCTCACATTTAGCTTCCTTTTGAGGAAACACACGAGTCTGGTGACCCCTATCATCTTTGCATTTTATGATTCGGCATAAAACGATTTACAAACATGCGAAAATAGAAATTGTTTACTTATTAGGTGATCCACGGCGTAGTTTTTAAACTAGCCACCATGCGTAATATAGACCATCGCACATCAGCGTGACCATTGCATTTCAACGTGACCATCGAACTATAGCATCCCTTTGGCACATCCGATTCCGACATATATATGCAACATACAGGTTTTGAAACCGATTTCATAGTTCACTGTACATGGAAATGTAAAAATATGAGTGTTCAAGTGCACTTGGCGTCCTTTATCGTCGTCTTTTTTTTTCTCTTTTAATAAAATCTTCTTCTCTCAAACTACTGGTCCAATGTAAACAAAACTAAGCCACAGTCATCATTGACGTATCAAATTAAAAAAAAACCATGTCTGATTATCCTTCCTGCCACCAACATGGCCTTCATGACTAAAAATAAAACATAGACTTAAAATGCATGTTTTGCCTATTTTCATGACAATCGCTATATATAAAGAAAATCTGACTAGGGTAGAAATGTTCAGATTAATGAGATCTACCTACTGTTCACATGGAACTGCCAGTCGACTCCTTAAAGGAGTTATTGCCTTGTAAAAGAGATTGTTACCCCATTATGCAAAAATTGTAAAAGATATAGAAAATTGTCAAACGCTTAAATAAGATAAAATCAACAAAAAAGAGACCTTAGTCATGAATAGTAAATACATTAGTTTGTCAAAATGCACATAGATCCACGTGAGTGACATAGGGTCTTTAGAAGATAAACAGAAACTGTAAGAAGCAAATATTAACAGACAAGATTTACGAATAGGACAAAAAGCTGAAATTGTAAGTCCACTTCACATTTTGAAAAAAAAAAATTGTCCTTGATACATGTGTTGTGCCACGATTATTTACAGTATTCTTTTAATAATAACCTTCATTCATTGCTTTTCATTTGTATTTCCCGGTGTATATTTTCCGCGAAACTAGGTCATACATATTTTCACTTTTGTACACTTGCTTGTTATGCGGAATGATTTTCTATAGTTACAACATAATTACCTTATTCAGAAGTTATTAATGCATCCTATTTTATCCATAGTTATCCTTTTATAATGTTAGAATTATCCAAAATCATACTTGTCAAGTTAAAGGCCATTTTGGTTTACTTTCACAATTGTGTACACGCGTACTATTTTTAGGTGTATTGATTAACTTGATCTTTCAAACGTTTAGAGAAAAGTATAGTCAGTTTCAAATTATAGCCGCTGGCGAACAGCTGAGTTTCAGACAGTGACCCAGAATTATTTATTCAGGTATTTTGGCACACACTGCAATTCTATTTAATTGATTTATTAATAACTATTGTTAATGATATTAGCTTTTAATAAAGCTGCTTTTATTCTTATTTCTTGATTATCCAAAGTTTGGACTTCAAAACAGTTTTATTCTTTGACTTTAATTGATATTTGTATAATATCTGCCAAACCATTTACAAAAAACGGTTGGCGCTACAATTGGTGGCAGCGGTAAAAACAACATTTAAAAAAAAATAGAAGGAAGGAAAAAAGTAATACATAAAAAAAAAAAAAAAAAAAAAAAAAAAAAAAAAAAAAAACAACAACAACATACAAATCAGCTTATATTGAAACTCAAAGTGTGGTTTACATATAATATTATTGAACACCAAGAGTTATTGAAATTCAAGGTGTATTTTTCCATATAAAATATTGAACACCAAGAATTATTGAAATTCAAGGTGTATTTTTCCATATAAATTATTGAACACCAAGAGTTATTGAAATTCAAGGTGTATTTTTTACTTATAAATTATTGAGCACCAAGAGTTATTGAAATTCAAGGTGTATTTTTCCATATAAAATATTGAACACCAAGAGTTATTAAAATTCAAGGTGTATTTTTCCATATAAAATATTGAACACCAAGAATTATTGAAATTCAAGGTGTATTTTTCCATATAAATTATTGAACACCAAGAGTTATTGAAATTCAAGGTGTATTTTTTCCTTATAAATTATTGAGCACCAAGAGTTATTGAAATTCAAGGTGTATTTTTTCCTTATAAATTATTGAGCACCAAGAGTTATTGAAATTCAAGGTGTATTTTTCCATATAAAATATTGAACACCAAGAGTTATTGAAATTCAAGGTGTATTTTTCCATATAAATTATTGAGCACCAAGAGTTATTGAAATTCAAGGTGTACTTTTTCCTTATAAATTATTGAGCACCAAGAGTTATTGAAATTCAAGGTGTATTTTTTCCTTATAAACTATTGAGCACCAAGAGTTATTGAAATTCAAGGTGTATTTTTTCCTTATAAATAATTGAACACTAAGAGTTACTGAAACACAAAGTGTATTTTTCTAAAAATATTTTAATAACATTAAAGGTAACTGAAATTAAGTATTAATTAAGTCTGGTATATTAAATATGAATTTAAGACACAGACAATTAACACTTCCTATGTTTTTAAACAATAGAGGGGGAGGGTCCCCAAGAGCTCCCTTATATAGTGTTAAGTCCAATTTTTCGGACTTAACAAGAGAAAATGAGACACAATTTGTTTCAAATAGTGGGTTATCAAATATGCCAAGTTTACATGGTTCTTCAAGTCAACTTACCTTGCCTGCTTTAACCAGTAATAATTCATTAAATGAACCGGGGGTGTCAATGATAAGAGACAGTGCACAGAGCATTAATGTTCCTGTACAGAGTGCACTGAGCACAAACGTACAACATCAGAGTGCACCAAGCACATATATTCAAACTCAAGGTGCACCTAGCACATGTATTTCATCCCAAAGTGCATTGAGCACTGGTCATTATACCCAAAGTGCACTGAGCACTGGTCATTATACCCAAAGTGCACTGAGTACTGGTCCTTATACCCAAAGTGCACTGAGCACCGGTCCATATACCCAAAGTGCACTGAGCACTGGTTCATATACCCAAAGTGCAACAAGCACATTTGTTCAAAACAGTAGCGCTTCAAACACTTATGCAAAAGTACAAGGTGTACCAAGCACATGGTCCTTTTCCACGGGAGGAATAAGCACATCTTATGCATCTAATCCATTTCATGATCAGACAAAGACAGCTAATATACCACAAATTACATCATTCAGTGACACCAGTTTCAACAGACCAATCAGCCATAATAACGGTGATGACCAACAAGAAGTATTTAAATTGAGAGAAAAAATAAGGGAAATTGAAAATGAAAGAGATTATTACAGACAGCAGAATAACCAACCAGATAATATAAGACAGCAAAATTTTCAATCAGAGAATACAGGACAGCAACATTTTCAACCAAATTATACTAGTCAGCAAAACAACCAAATGAGATACCGAACAGACTCCACATCTAGCATGCAAGATAGTTATCACTCAAAACTACCATTCTACAATGGAAGAAGTGACTGGAGTACATTTCAGATGCAATTTGAAATAATTGCTGAAAGAAATAATTGGGATCCAAGACGTCAAGCTGAGGAAATATTACTGGTGCTTAAAGATGAAGCTGCAAAATTTGCATCAGAGCTACCGTATGACACAAGGAGCTCGTTTCGACTTTTATCCAAAGATATGGAAAGAAGATTTGGAGATAACAACCTGCCTGAAACCTACAGAAAAGAGTTGCAATTTACAAGAAAAAATTACAAGGAGTCAATAAATGAATATGCTGCTCGCATTCAGACAATGGTCAGGAAGGCATATCCAGGCATGGATAATCAACTATTCAACGATATATCAATTGAACACATGTTAAATGGATTAAATGATCAAAGTATTGCCTATGATGTATTGACAAAAAGACCTAAAACTATGGAGGAAACAATCAATCTTGTAGCATGGCATACTACATGCAAAAATGGATTGAGAAGCAAAACTCAAATAAGGCAAATTGAAATTGAAGAAGAAGAAACGTCTTTTGATGCTGATCAGTCTGATGACATAGAAGTGAGACGAGTTGGAGGTAAACGATTTGTTACAGAGGAGCGTCTTAATCAGTTTGGTAGAGAGATGAAAGAAAGTATCACGACTGAAGTAACCAAGTCTATTGAGAACATAATGAACACAAGGCTACCAACATCAAATACATACCAGCCTAAGAAGAATTTTAACAGCCAAAATTCAAGATGGAATAACAAGGACAAAAATCAAAAGCAAAACAATACAAGATGCTATGCATGTAATGAAGAAGGACATTATGCAAGGTCATGTCCTAACCAGAAACAGACACAAGGACAGGTTTCAGACGGAAATCCGTTAAACTAAAACGGGCTGAGACTAATGGCCAAGTGTCAGCCCGCAATTGCAAAATTAAAACAGACTTAGTAGATATAAACCAGACAAATGAGGATCAAGTAGATAGAAACATTGAATGTGTGTTTCTTGGTAAGGGGATTGAAAATCAAATGGTGAACTCTGCCAGTAAGAAAGAAAATACAGATTTTGTTGCTGAGCCTATACCGGAGGACCAAGGTCTCTCTTTAAATGGTGATAGTGGTCAGGATACAGGTGCTGAAAAGGACGTGATATTTAACAATAAAGAGGAAATTGTAATTGATCGCGTAACAGCAGCCAGTATTAAGGTACCAATGGAAGTCAGTAATCAAAAAATAAAAGCTGTAATTGATACTGGAGCAGAAGTTACTGTTTTAAATGAAGACATGTTTTTCCGCCTTCCAAAAACAAGCAGATCAAAGTTGAAACCAGCACTGAAAAAACTAGTTGTTGCCGAAGCAGGGAAGCAATTGGGAACAAAAGGTATAGCAGCAGTGACGTTAACACTTGGAGACTCAAAGTTTGTCTGGGATGTATATGTAGCAACAATTGGTGATGATTTGTTGCTAGGCTGTGATGTCCTTGATGAAATGGATATAACAGTAAACTCTAGAAAAGGAATTCAACTGAATGGAAAATGGATTGAGTGTGAAGTTAACCGCAAGTCAGACATGATAGCAAGAGTGGTTTTAACTGAAAATGTAACCGTTCCAGCCAATTCTGAGATGATATTATTTGGTGGGAGTGATAATACTGATGCTATAGATACCAGATATACCATGCTTCAACCAGTGGTTGAGGATAATCGGAAAATTATGGTTGCACAAATCCTTGTTGACCCTTTTGAAAAAATCATCCCCGTTAGACTGGTCAATATGGAGGACCTCCCTGTACAGTTGAAAAGAAATTATTTAATAGGAGAGTTACATCCAGTTACAAATATTACACAGTTTGATGACATCCAAAACAGATAGTACAGTCCGTACATAGCTGGAAAGTTCCATCAACAGCAAAAGAGATTCAACAATTCCTTGGTCTATGTAATTATTACAGGCAGTATATACTAAGTATTCAAATTCAGTGACATTGCAGCTCCACTCAGTCATCTTACCAGAAAAGATGTACTTTTTAAATGGACACATCCCTGTCAAGAATCTTTTGAAAAATTGAAAAACGCACTGACAACATCACCAATATTGGCATACCCACAATCAGACGGAATGTTTATATTGGACACAGATGCATCTAATATAGGTATTGGCGCTGTGCTGTCTCAAATCCAAGAAAACAAAGAAAAGGTTATATCATATGCATCAAAGAAGCTAGACAGGGTACAACAGAGGTATAGTATCACAAGACGAGAACTACTTGCAGTTGTCACATTTATACAGCAATTTCGGCACTATTTACTTGGAAGAAAATTTTTGCTGAGAACAGACCATGGATCATTAAGATGGATATTTGCATTTAAAGACCCTCAGGGACAGTTAGCACGATGGATTGAAAGTCTTAGTCAATACAATTTTGACATTCAACACCGTCCAGGTACAAAACATTTGAATGCTGATGAAATGTCTAGAAATTCTAATGAAAATGATCTTTGTATACATTTGAAAGAGGGAAATCTTGATTCCAGTTGCACTGAATGTATTGAATGGAAACAAGAATGGTCAGAATTTAGAAAAAAAGTTGATAATGTAAAGAATTTAACTGATAAACCTATGATAAGGGATGTAACACAGTCAAGCCATAGTCATTGTTCCAGTTGGCTAACTAAATACACAGAAAAAGAGATGAGTACATTCCAGAAAGAAGACCCAGATTACAGTTTTTTACATAAATGGATGGATGAAGAAGAAACACCAGATAGAGATAAATGTGCCAGTTTCAGCCCAGCAGTAAGACATTATTGGCTGAATTGGAGTAATATTGTCCGTATTGGTGGAGTAATATACCAAAAATGGAGAGAAGTTAAAAGTGAACAAGATCACTTACAACTTCTAGTACCAGCTGTTATAAAGAAAGAAATAATAATCAGCTGTCACGATACTGCATATTCTGGTCATTTTGGTATTAAGAAATCAGTCCAGAAAATGAAAAATTATTTTACATGGTATCAAATGACAAAAGACGTCAGAATACACATAGAAAATTGTGTAATTTGTACTAAAAGAAAAAGTAGAAAATCAAAAGCTGGGTTGGTTGATTATAGAGTGGGTTACCCTTTAGACAGAGTTAGTATTGATGTAATTGGACCTTTACCACAAACACAGAGGAGAAATAAATATTTATTGGTAATAGGAGATAATTTCACCCGTTGGATGGAAGTTTATCCTTTGCCACATCAAAAGGCTGATATTGTGGCACATAAGTTTGTAATGGAATTTATAACGAGATTTGGAATACCACCAGAACTGCACAGTGACCAAGGCAGCAATTTCCAGAGTGAATTGTTTAACGATGTCTGTAGCATATTAGAAATAACAAAGACCCGGACAACACCTTACCATCCTGCCTCAAATGGGCTTATTGAGAGGTTTAATCGTACCCTGGCAGGAATGATAAAAAGTTTCATCAACAAGAATGCTACAGACTGGGATGTAAACATCAATCTACTACTGGCAGCTTATCGTAGTACACCACATCCTGCTACAGGCTTCTCACCTAATTTTTTAATGCTAGGTCGAGAAATAAGTATTCCAATAAAATTGATATATCCACTGCCAGACCAGAAATATGAAGGGCAAAATGAGTATGCTCTAGATCTTCAAGATAGATTACAAGATATGTATCATATTGCCAGGAAACATCTCAAGACCAATGCAGAACGACTTAAAAAGAATCATGACACTAGACTGACAAAACATATATATAAAAAGGGAGACCTTGTATATAAATTTGACAAAACTATAAAACAAAAATTTAAATCCCCATGGCTTGGTCCCTATTTTATTTCAAAAGTTTTGAGCACAGTGGTCTATGAAATCTGTTTTAAATCTAGAAATGAAGTTGTTCATATAGATAAATTAAAACCGTATGTAGGTGAAATACCAGACTGGGTTAATAGAAAACTCAATCAATTAGAATAAATGTTATGTTAAGAGTAAACATACACATTTTATACATGTATTTATTTATTCCTGTATAAAAATAATATTTAAGACTTGTTAATTTTATAAAGTATTAAGTATTGATTAATTATATTCTTACAGAATTATGGTACTGTTTCAATGTTCGAAGTGTCCTTTCCGAGGAAATACAAAAAACACAATTCAACATTTTATAATTAAACATGCTTCGGTTGACCGAGTCCCATTTGTATGCAAAACCTGTAACTTTAAAACAATTTCCCATGCTAAATGGCAAAGACATTTAAAGGATCTTAAAAAACCTCATGTTAACAAAGAACATATTTGTATGAAAAGTATTAATCCTTATGTGGTGATTGTGGGTGAAGACATTACAGAATTTGAATCAACATGTATAAATGACAAAATATTTATACAAGAAGAAGAGGAGATTGAAATTGTGGAAGTAAATATTGACCCCAAAGATGAACAAATTTTGGAATTAGAGAATAAATTGGTAGAAATGAAATCAACACATGAAAATCAACTTAAAGACTTAGAAGAAAAGCATACATTTGAGTGCCTTCGATTTGGGAATTTTATAGAGAGACTGGAAAAGAGGAAGACAGATCTTAAAGAAGAAGTGAGAAAACTCCAAAATAGATTAACCGAGACTCAACCCAAATCCTCTAAGAAGATCAGAAGTTCTGTTTGTGTCATTGAATCAAGAAAATAGAAAGAACTTTTTAATTATATTGAACTTTTAATGAATGAGACTTATTGTGATATATACATGGATATTGTTTTACTGTTATATATGTATGCTTCTTATGTTGAAATTTGAATATATATTCATTTTATTTCATGTCAATTCTAGGGACAGAATTCTTTTTTCTTTGAGAGGAGCAGTGTTGTGCCACGATTATTTACAGTATTCTTTTAATAATAACCTTCATTCATTGCTTTTCATTTGTATTTCCCGGTGTATATTTTCCGCGAAACTAGGTCATACATATTTTCACTTTTGTACACTTGCTTGTTATGCGGAATGATTTTCTATAGTTACAACATAATTACCTTATTCAGAAGTTATTAATGCATCCTATTTTATCCATAGTTATCCTTTTATAATGTTAGAATTATCCAAAATCATACTTGTCAAGTTAAAGGCCATTTTGGTTTACTTTCACAATTGTGTACACGCGTACTATTTTTAGGTGTATTGATTAACTTGATCTTTCAAACGTTTAGAGAAAAGTATAGTCAGTTTCAAATTATAGCCGCTGGCGAACAGCTGAGTTTCAGACAGTGACCCAGAATTATTTATTCAGGTATTTTGGCACACACTGCAATTCTATTTAATTGATTTATTAATAACTATTGTTAATGATATTAGCTTTTAATAAAGCTGCTTTTATTTATTTAAACAAATCTTATTTCTTGATTATCCAAAGTTTGGACTTCAAAACAGTTTTATTACTTTGACTTTAATTGATATTTGTATAATATCTGCCAAACCATTTACAAAAAACGGTTGGCGCTACAACATGTATGTCGCGAAAGCGAGACACAGCGATCCTAGATTCCTTCGTCGTCGGCGGCGTCAACATTAAAGTTCAGTCTATGTTTGAAGTTGTTTTAGACCTTTATTACTCTGTTAAACCTTAAACCAATGATATGAAATTGATATAGAAACTTTGTATGACCAACAGACATTATTTAGAGCAGGGATGGGCACGATTACTGACAAATGTAATCGATTAATAATCGATTACATGGAGGATTTTTGTGTATTCGATTAATAATCGATTACTCTGATTTTTGTATGTAATCGATTGCAATCGATTACTTTATTAAAAGTAATTACATTACTTTTCGATTACTGTCAATTACATGCTACAAAATTACAAAAGAATAATAAAG